CGAACACCGAAGTTTTCCTTATCTTTGTTTTGTCTAAATGACCGTCAACACCAGACAGCAGGCTTAGTATGTGTGTGGGGCGGGGTGGGGGAGGGGGGGGGGGGAACAATACTGACAGTCAACGCCATCGACTTTCGTGCGCATTACTGTTAGCCAGCGCTGTAGGCTAAATACCAGAGGTGACGAAAAAAAACAGAGACACGACTTAACCATACGAGACAAGGTCAAACAGTTATTGATCAGGCGATGTAAAAAAAAAAATTATGCTAATATATGTGATCTTTGTGATGCAGATCAGCTGAATTTGGGTTGTGTTTTGATTGAGTGGGTCGACAATGAGACAGCATTTAGAAAACAAATCGATTAATTATCTTCGCTAAGGGTATTTGGGCCAGGAATGGTAGCAGACAAGTCAGCGCAGATTGGACTCAACATTAACAAGCATCATCACACGCAGGCTTTAAAGGTGGAGTCCGCGAGGACAGCGCACAAGAGGTCGAAACACCTGACGGCCCATATCCCAGAACGGGCAGTGAACGAATCATAATGAGGCGGCGGTTTATTTTTAGTGTTCAGTTCGCTGATCAGTGTTTCTTTCAGATTTTTTCTCGGGGGTGGGGGGGGCACTTGAAATTGGGGGTGGGGGTGGACTAAAATTCCTGGGGGAGGGGGCCGCTGACACTGTTAAATGTATATATTTTCAATATAAATTCCATTTTGTTTGTGGGGAGGGGGGTCGGGGGTGGTAGACTTACTTCGGGGGGGGGGGGGGGGTGCCAGGAAGAAACACCGTCGCTGATGTATCTCTTCCGGCAATACCACGTTTGTCTCAGATGCACAGTTACGGTGACTGGTGCGGGCCTACCGTTGGTGCCGCCCCCCCCCCCCCCCTCTCCCCGAGGCACGGGGTATTTGCTGAATGGTTTTGGCCTATCCCCCCCCCCCCTCCCAGAGACAGTTACGGTATCGTCAGACTGGTGGGGACCTACCGTTGAATGCACCCCTCTCCCCCAACACTGAGACACAGTTACAGTATTTGCTGGTGCCCCCCCCCCTCCCCAAGTATTAATTAGTTAACGTATCTTAGCTAAAACGTTTCTCTCGTGTCAGGAGCGACCCGCACCAACCCCCATCACCTTTGTCGCGTTGATGGTGAATAACAGAATATCTCAGCAATCATTGTTTGGATTACATAATTTACTACCGAGTATTATGTAAAAATAATAACATTTGAGCTAGTAGGTGAATTTTGATTATTTTGCTCACGAATTTTAACACCTTAATTACGCGATAAATGAAAATTATTTTTTAAAAATCTTCAAATACTGAAAAGGGCCTGGACCTATATAGTAAGTAAAATAAGTGAAATATATATTATATTTGTTTCAGTTGTTTACAGAAAATGCTTGAACAGGAAATCCCTAACCAATACCAAAACTAGAAGAAAATTAGGTTTATTCGTAGTGTGAACATAATTAATAAACCTAAATCTTCACATGTGCATATTAAAGTAAGTTTATACTAACACTTTTTCTTTTCTTTAAAAAAATAATATGTTTTCTTTTATGCTTTATTAGAAGCCTAGAATTAAAGTTATTTAGTAAACATATTCAGCCAAAAATATTTTAACCATATTCAAAATAAAGAATGTCAATGTATATTAAGAGGGGCGTAAGAATCGACCTCCATTTTAGAATCAATATACACTGTTTTTCAATTTCAAGACTCAAGATATATTGACAGCCTTGAGCCTTCTGCCTCAAAGGTCATTAACCTTCGCTAGTCGTGATAACATATAGGACGGCCGCGTTTGTCAAGGTTATTTCTTTTTCCATAGGGAAAGTAGATAAGAACAAATTGTCATATTTTAAGGTCTATCTCATTTGCGTGGTCAGCTGTAGCTGTCTAGAATATAAACGATTGAAAAGGTTGCACTTTATAAGAGAACAATGATTCTGACAATAAAAATTATGAGCACTGCTTTACATGATTCTGAACAACTAACAACTTTGGATAAATAATTGTAGGCCTATTGCTCTAAAAATCAATTGTGATATATATATATATATATATATATATATATATATATATATATATATATATATATATATATATATATATATATATATATATATATATATATATATATATATATATATATTCTTATAGGAATCAAGTATTATAGAGTAGTTTTTATAACCTCAATCAGTGTTTCTTCCAGACTTTTTTCTCCGGGTGGGTGGAGGGGGGGGGGGGGGGTCGGGGTCGGGGTCGGCGGACTAAAATTTCCGGGTGGAAGGGCCGGGATGTCGGACACTGGTAAAAGTATATATTTTCTGCGGGGGGGGGGGCAGAAGACATTTTTCGGGCGGGGGGAGGTGTCGGATCACCCCCCCCCCCCCGGAGAGATTTCTGGCAGAAACTCTGACCTCAACTTAAAAAAAAAACATTTAATATAAATGTCCGTGTGAAACATTACTCAAAAATTACGCGATGTTATTGATTTGAGTGGACCCATTTTTTAGATTCAATTAAAAAACAAACAGAAGGGCGATTAATTTTGTTTAGATCTTATGATTTGAATACACGGTGAAATTAGTTGCCCTTTGTAAATTTTTTTTTCAAGCATTACAAAGCCTGTGTAGGCCTACTCATTCATGTCAATTTATAACTAAAGTGCACTAATTTTAAAACGTACAGCAGAAATAAAAACAAAACGTAATTAACTACTAAGTAGAAAGACTTGAATAGTTCATATAACTTAAAGGTTTTGAGTTATCTAGCAAATACAGTTTTTAAATGTGAAACGTATTATGAAGAATCTTATTTGTTACGAACAGAGTTTCTTCCAGGCATCTCTTCGGAGAAAAAAGTCTGGAAGAAACACTGGTTACGAAGGCTACCTTTTTTATTGTTAAGTGTAAGGTTATATTTGGAATAAAGTTTGGTTATTATAGGTCTAATTAGGTTATGTTTTACTGGGTTTGTATCCTTTTTCATACACTGAGTATAATTAGGTAGTATCTGTTTACTGTGGTAGCTGGTGAGGCAGGTTTACACATTAATGCTTTAACTTTAAGTTTTATTAGTCAATATTTCATACTTTTAGGTGTTTGCTAGACTATGCAGGCAGCAATGAATTTATTCCAATTTTTATTATCTTTATGTTATATTAATTCATCAATCTGCTTACGAATAATATTATAAGCTGATCATTGCTTTACTTAATATTGCCGTTTTACTACACGCTATAATAATATTTGGTAGTAAGAATTTAAAAAAGAAAAGGGGCAACGAATCAGAAAAGTGGTCACTAATCACACGCCATGCCGGTGACGTTGGAATACAGCATTTTCATTGGTTATCTGCCGATGAGCCCACATCTGACGATATTGTACAAATTTGTATGCCGTGGGTTCTTTACAGATTTTAACTCAATAGATATTAAAATAACAGGACGTGGAAGCTGAATGATGTAAGTTCTTATTCAGTATACTATGAATAATAGTTTGTTCTTAATTCTTTATAAATTTAATAGTCCTTTTCTAGCACAACCGTCGCTTTAAATAAAGAGGCTGAAATCACTAATAATCAGAACTGAGAAAATGTGTCTGGACTGGAACAAAAAGATTGTGTGTGTGTTCCACCTGAATTTTTAAGTCTAGTGTACTGTAGATCTAGAGCTAGATCTAGAATCTAGATCTAGATCTAGATTCTAGATCTAGACTATATCTAGATCTACTAGATTACCATAACTATGCTAGACTAGATAGAATCCCTAGAACTAGATCTTAGATCTATAAATCTCTGTAGACACTAGTTTAGTTATTTAGTAAGATAAAGTCTTGTAGTCAGGTCGATGGTCTGCAGTACAGTTGTGAGTACAGTAGACATTCTCGGGTCTAGAGTCTAGTCTAGATCTAGATCTAGATTCTATTCTAAATCTAGATCTAGACCTCTAGACTAGATCTAGGTCTAGATCTAGAATTATTTTAGCCTAGATCTAGATAATAGAATCTATTCTAAATCAGTAAATCTAGACTAGATCTAGATTTGAAATCTAGAATTATTCTAGCTTAGATCTAGATCTAGATAGATCTAATAGTTTATAGATAAACAGATAATCTAATAGATAGATCTATCAGTTATCTAGATATCGAGCTCTAGATCTAGACAAAAACGATTGTTGATTCTCACCTACTACTAGATCTAGTGACTAGTGAGTTAGGCTAATTAATATATATTTTTTTAATTAGGCCTATCTAGACTAGATAAATTTAGGGCTAGGTTAGTGTGTAGAGTCACTAGAGTTCATCAATCTGTCCTAGTCTAAAAGTCAAGTCTGGGCAAGATAACATCATTTTTAAAAATTCTAATTTAGATCTAGACATACTTATTTTAACACATCACAAGATTCTAATTTTAGATCTAGGTCTTTTAGTCTTGTTCTAGGTTTAGAATCTAGTACAAGATCAATGTCTTTACTAATTCTACTAGACTAGAATCTAGGTAGGCTCCTAGCCCCATATAATAGATCTATATAATCTAATTTAGACTTAGTCCTAACCTAGATCATGTCAAAAAGATAATCCTAGAATGAACTTTTGTGTGTAGTGTATGGGGCCTACTGTATGTGTAACTGTAAACTCAATCAATATCTTTAAGTTGCTTTGTGACATGCGGTTAACCTACTGGACCTGAGTAGAATACTATAGGTCACGGACCTAAATAATAGTTTATTCAGTAGTCAGTAATTGTATAATGGCAAACTAAGTCTAGATCTAACTGTTTTAATAATTAGTAGGCATGTGCAATATATGAATTCTTAACCGCAATAGCCACACATCAGGCTTATTTTAAAATCTTTCTAGCCATTGATATATGGCTACAGTAGTTGAGATACCTATATTTGAAGGCTTAACTGTTGTATGCTAATCATAGTAGTGACAGTTTATAAATTGTCACTAACAGTACTAAAGTACTAAATCTAGTTAGGCCCGATTTCTTTCACTGATACGGACCTTCAGTTTTTAATCACATTCTTTAAACCTGGTATGCTTATAATTTGGCCTGCTTTCAACTCTATAAACTTATTACTGTACTATGACCTATTAATTGTTGCTAACTTCTTTTTGTCTATTTAGAAAATACATTTAGGTGCTATGAATTCTTAATTACATCTTCTATTTGCTGTTTACATTTTTTAAAAGTCTAAACCCTCAAATAGGATCTCATTGTTTCATTTTCAGATAAATTTTATTAAATAATTATAATGCCAGCAAGAATACCCATGGAGGATTCTGTCTGCAATGGAGCTCATGGAGATGGCCCTCATAATAGATTGGGCCCTAATCTTCCAGAATTTGTATATAATGGAGAGGTTTCTATTAGTGGCATTTCTGGTCGTTTGCCGGAATCAGACAACATGGCTGAATTCCGTGAACATTTAATGAACAAAGAAGATATGGTAACAGCTGATGACAGGAGATGGAAAATGGGTAAGCTAACATAGCAATAGAACACAAAACATTTCTTTACTATTTTTTATATTTCTTATATGCCATATTCTAGTTGTAGCATACTTTGCATGTTATTTGTTGAAGGTATGATTACTTTGAAATTATTTTTATGCACAGGACTGCATGGCAATCCACCAAGGAATGGAAAATTAAAAGAGATCAGACATTTTGATGCTGGATTTTTTGGAGTTCATCCAAAACAAGCAGATTGTATGGATCCACAGTTACGGATGCTGTTAGAAACAGCTTATGAAGCAATTATAGATTCAGGTAAATATGTTTAAAATAGAAGTCATTATTATGTATTAGTTGAGAAAATTTTAAGATTAATTCTGGAAATAAAATTTTACAGGACAAACCTTGGAGAGCGTACGTGGTTCAAGAACTGGTGTGTTTGTTGGGGTGAGCATGTCAGAAGCATCTGATGCTTGGACATCCGATGCAGAATCTACAGTTGGTTACACAATGCCAGGATGTTGCAGAGCTATGTTTGCCAACAGAATTTCATTCTTCTTTGATTTTAAAGGTATATAAAAATATAATCCATTACATTTTTTAGTACTGTACAATTAATAATAGACAAGTAACTATACAATTTCCTAATATAATGTTGCAGGTCCCAGTTATGCTGTTGACACTGCATGCTCCTCAAGCATGATGTGTTTAGATCAAGCTCTTATGAATATCAGAATGGGAATAATAGATTCAGCTATTGTGGGGGGCACAAATTTGTGTCTGAAGCCAAATACATCTCTTCAGTTTGTGCGAATGGGAATGACATCTCCCGATGGCGCATGCAAAACATTTGATGCATCAGGTAATTTGCTTACATAGTATTAAAAGACTTAGCACAGTTCATTCATCTTGCTTTGATTAGTAATTTCCTTAACTTTATAATTTTTGTTTTTAGTATTTAATAGATCCATCTTATTAACTCGTATTCTTTTTTTTTATACTTTTATTAGTAATGTTTAAATGGGCCATAAAAGAAAATGTGTACATATCACTTTTTATTTATATTATTTGTATTAAATATTTTCTTAAATTAGGTGATGGCTACTGTCGTAGTGAAGCTATCATGTCTATCTTCTTGCAAAAGTCAGCAGACTGCAGGCGTATTTATGCAACTGTTGTTCATTCAAAAACAAACTCAGACGGGTACAAAGAACAAGGTTAGTAGCTTAATTTTTTAATGTATGACATAGACATAATTTAGTTATAGTTTATATATGTTTATAACTTTAAAAATCATGTTACAACTTTTACATTTTTTTTTTATTAAAGGTATAACATTCCCCTCTGGCATACTTCAAAAACAGCTTATTAATGAAGTGTATCATGAAATTGGCATCAACCCAAGTGATGTATGTACAAAAAAATTGTTGGCATGTAACAATAGTGTTGTAAATAACTCTAGTTAGGCTTAAAAATTTGAATTAAAAGCATAGTTTATTTATAAAGTCTTTTATTTGTAACAGATAGCTTATATGGAAGCTCATGGAACTGGAACTAAAGTTGGTGACCCACAGGAAACTAACTCAATTGTTGAAGTCTTTTGCAAAGGAAGAAAAGACCCACTTCTTATTGGTTCTACAAAGACTAACATGGGACATCCTGAAGCTGCTTCAGGTTTGTCCTTTTAAATATGATTGGTTTCAAATAAATTTTAAAAAATAACATGATAAAAAAGTATATTATTTCTAGATAAATCAATGCTAATTAAACTTCTGGTTTCTTTCAGGTTTATCTTCAATAGCTAAAATAATTATAGCTATGGAGGAAAGGGTAATCCCTCCTAATCTTCATTTTAAGACTCCAAATCCAGACATTGCTGGATTGTTGGATGGAAGACTAAAGGTGGTTACAGAGTGCACAAGGTGGAATGGTGGTTTAGTGGCTATGAACTCCTTTGGATTTGGAGGTTCAAATGTTCATGCAGTGTACAGGTACACTTCTATTCACTCATCATTTTTGTCTTGCTGAATATTCCAACATCATATTTAATGGAATATATCTTTCTGGAAATGAAAAAACCTTTATACATCCAATAGCTTTGGTTACATTTACCCTCAAATATACACCTTTTACTACTGGTCTCACTGACATTTTGTTTGATTTTATGTTGTGATGGTTCTAACTACATGTAAGCATTACACAATTTCCACATAGGTCACATGACAAGGAATTGACAGAGCCCCACATAGCAAGTGACAAACCAAGGCTATTCACCTGCAGTGCTCGCACAGAAGCAGGAGTAAAGGCTCTGTTGGCAGAGGCTAAAAAAAATGCTAAAAGTGTTGAGTTCCAAGCATTAATACAAGACAGTGCCAATGTATCCCCTGGCCAGATGCCATACAGAGGTTTTACTGTTTTAAATGGAGCTAACGACTTGGAAGAGATTCAGGTAGCTAATATTTAATGTTTTCATTTGTTATATTTAGATGTATATTTTAAGTACTTTTAATCCTAGTTTTAACTTCCAAAAATCTAGAAATGCAGCCCAGAACCTAGACCAGTTTGGTTTGTTTTTGCTGGCATGGGTACACAGTGGCATGGTATGGGACGCAAAATGATGGTACTGGATGTTTTTAGAGATTCAATCAAACGTTCAACTGAAATCCTCAGCAAGTATGACATCAATCTATATGATCTCATAATGAATGGAGATGAAAGTACCTTTGAACAAACTATTCCATCATTTATTGGCATTGCATCAATTCAGGTGAGAAATTTGATAGTTTTTTGCTGCTTTACCAGTTATTTTTCTGTTCTGTTAACACTACTTAATTTTGTAAGTTATTGTATTCTATTTCTTAGTTTTTCTTTTTAATATCAGGTGGCACTTGTTGACTTACTTCACTCAATGGACATCAAACCTGATGGTATTGTTGGCCATTCTGTGGGAGAATTAGGTTGTGCCTATGCTGATGGTTCTTTGACTGCTGAAGAAACTGTTCTTGCTGCATACTGGAGAGGCAGGTGCATATCTGAAGCAACATTACCTGCTGGAAAAATGGCTGCTGTTGGTAAGAAAATTAAATACTTCATTTGTATTGTGGCATTTACTTTTATAGTTAAAAAGCTATTAGCCATTTTATTCAACTTATTAACACCTGTTTGTTGGTTCACCATCATTGAGCTCAATCAGGAATTTTTTTTAGATCTTTAGCTTAACTATTGTTATCACTTGAAAGATATTAAAGGACTGTATTATTATTTAGTGATGTATAGTATCTAAGTTGAGTTGTTCATTACTGAAAAAAATATGTGCAGGTCTGTCTTGGGAAGAATGCAAGAAAATGTGTCCACCAGGGGTTGTGCCTGCTTGCCATAATTCTGTTGACACCGTTACAATTTCTGGACCTTATGATGTCACCACAAAATTTGTTGAAGAACTTAAAGAAAAGGGCATCTTTGCACGAGATGTCAAATCCTCAAATGTGGCTTATCATTCATATTATATGAATGATATTGCTCCTCAGTTGAAGCAAGCTTTAGAAAAGGTATAAGAACAATTTTTTCATTCTTTTAATGAAATTTAGTGTGCTTACATTTCATATGTTTAAAGTCTGAGATACCTGGAGAAAAATACTTTTTTTTAAAAGGTGCATAGTTTAAAGAATATATTGCCTTCTCTTATATATTCATATCACTATTACACCCAATTTCTTTAAATTACAGGTAATCAAGCCAAAGAAGAGATCACCAAAATGGATCAGCACATCTGTTCCAGAAGCTCGTTGGGGTGAAGAATTGGCTAAATACTCATCTGCTGATTATCATGTTAATAATCTGGTCAGTGCTGTTCTGTTTCAAGAGGGTCTACAGAAAGTGCCAAATAATGCAATTGCTATTGAAATAGCCCCACATTGCCTTTTGCAAGCTATTCTGAAAAGGTCACTAAGCACAGAAGCAGTATTTGTTGGTCTTATGAAACGGGCACATGAAAATAATGTTGAATTTTTCTTCTCAAGTCTTGGCAAGTAAGTAGTTTTCATTCAATTGTAGTAAAAGATAAATATTGCTTTAATAGTTATAAATTAAACTGATTTAATCTCCTTCAAATATATTATTTCAGGTGCTATGCCAATGGCTTAAACATGAGTCCACTGAAAGCATACCCCCCTGTCCAGTTTCCTGTTCCTAGGGGAACACCTATGGTTTCTCCAGCCATTTCTAAAATTTGGGATCACTCAACTATCTGGACCACACCAAGTGAAGAAGATTATGTTTTTACTAAAGGAGGAGCCTCTTCAGATGCTGTGTTTGAAATTGATGCTTCAGAAGAATCTGCAGAACATTATTTGGTACGTCTCTACTTTTGTATGCAGCTTGTTTACTTTGTAGTAATGCTCAAGTTAAATCTTGTTGGTAGAATAATGAAGCGGTCACCAGAGTAATAATTGATGGAATTTCACAGGTTGGACACAAAATTGATGGCCGTGTACTTTACCCAGCCACTGGTTACCTTGTATTGGCATGGAAAGCTTTAGCACGGTTAAGAGGCCAACTATATGAACAAATGCCAGTAGTTTTCCAGGATGTTACTATTCACAGAGCAACAGTTCTTCCACCATCAGGTATACATTTAACCTTGCCAACAGATTTTTGTTTCATCTAAATTAATTTCCTTACTCAGTAATTTGTTTACAACATATTTTGCTAATTGAAAATATGTCCTTATTTTTAGGGACAGTGTCTCTTAGTGTGAGTATTATGCCTGCTACAGGGAAATTTGAAATCTGTGAAAATGATGCACAAGTTGTTAGTGGCATCATATTTTGTCCAGAAGGGGAGTTTTTAGATAGTGATAAATATTTGGCTGTAAAAAATATTTTCAACAAGAAAGAGACAACTGAGTTTGAACTAACAAAAGAGGAAGTCTATAAAGAACTTAGATTGAGAGGTTATGATTATGGACCAACATTTCAAGGCATCGCAAAGGCAAGCCAAACAGGTAAGAAGATTAGTTACTTGCATGTTTGTATGAATTTAACAGAATACCAACCTTGTTCAACAGGAATGGAATTAACATTGAAATATTTTTTGACCTAGGTAAAACTGGTGAGCTTACATGGAACGGTTGTTGGATTTCTTTTCTGGACACCATGCTACAGATTCAGCTTGTTTCCATGCCAGGGCGCTCATTACGTTTACCAACACGCATTAAATTATTTAAAGTTGATCCAAAGAAACACCCAATGCCACCAGCTGAAGGAGAGGAGCCTATTAGTAAGTACTTATATCAAATTAGACAAGTAGGCCAATACCATTGTCAGGAATGTAACTTTTTTTTTTTTATTGAAGTATTATTTTTGCCTATCTTTAAGGTAGCAGCTACATATCTGCATTTCAATGCTTACCTCTTGTGTATTTATTTCTTTTGGTTCATGACATTTTTCCATTGGTTTTGTTTTGCAGATATTCCAGCTTTTGTTGACAGCACTTTAGATATAACCTTATGTGGTGGTGTTGAAGTCAAAGGTCTACATACTTCAGTTGCACCCAGAAGAGGACTACAGGTACCCCCAACTATTGAAGAATATCGCTTTGTGCCTTATACACAAAATGAGGATAATAAATTTCCTGTGTCCTTAAAGAATTACACAACTGACTGCCTAAATTATACTCTTGAAAACCTAAAACAATTGCTTACTTCAAATGCAAGTAATTCACTTTTAAATAAAGATCTTTTGGAGGATGTTGTTAAAAATAACAAACCATCAGCTGTTCCAGATCTTCAAAACTTCACTTCTCAGTCAAACTGTGGCTTGGCCCGTACTTTAACTAAAATATTTACTTTGCCTACACCAGATGTAAAAAACATTCATAATATTTTGCAATCAAGCAAATCTGAATTGTCATCTGATCAACTCTTGGCTAGCCTAAGTAATCAGGAGATTTTGAAGCCTTGTATTGACATTGTTATAGACAACACAGCATCTCAAAAGATCTCAGTCTTTGAAGTTGGTGCAAGCCAAAGTACTTTGTACAGAAAAATCATCCCAATTATCAAATCTCAACCACTTCTAAATGTGAATTACACTGCAGCAGACAAGACATCCCTTGACAAAGATGTTAAGGAGTTGGGTGTTAAAACCTCTCAATGGGACCCAAGTACTTCATCTTCAATCCCTCCAGGACAAGTGCATCTTCTTGTTCTCAAAAATATATTACACAAACAAGCCAACATTGATGAGACATTTGAAACATTATCAGGCATGGTTTCTCCTGAAGGTTTCATTCTGGTTGAGGAAGTTACTGGAAATTTTCCACTTTATTTAGCTTTGGAGGCAATTGCTGAAAAGTTGACAGACAATACATCAACTGATGTGTGTCGTGTATGTGGATGCTACCTGACTGAAGGATCTTGGGTAGAAGTGTTTTCTCGACATGGCTTTGAAGTTGTTTATAGAAAGTCAGACAATCTGCTCTCAACTATTTTCTTGTTGAGGAAGAAAGCTCAGTTTGCAACACCACCAATTGTGTTTTCAATTGATGACTTGCAGTGCTCTTGGTTAGATGACCTAAAAATCAAAATGAAAGAGTTAGAAAAAGCACCAGAAGATGCAAGACTTTGGCTAACTGCCACTAAAGACATAAATGGATTGGTGGGATTTTTTAACTGCCTGAAATATGAGGCAGGAGGAGAAAAGGTCAGAAGTATTTTTGTGAGCAATTTGACAACATCTGATCAACCAGACTTGTCTGTTAATAGCACAGAGTTCCAGAACATTGTCAAGAAAGACTTGGTTGTGAATGTTTACCGAGATGGTAAATGGGGAACTTTTAAGCACATACCTATATCTCTTGGTAAGTTAGTTTTATTTTAAAAAAATTATTAGCTTTAAAGTGAACCTTAAAAAGTACTTGATAGATGTTATTTCTAAATGTTTCATTGAACATTTTTTGCAGATGAAAAAGCAAGAGAAAAAGCAACTGAATATGCTTATGTTAATGTATTAACTAGAGGAGATCTTTCAAGCTTAAAATGGATTGAATCACCTTTGAAATATTTCCACCAAGACAGGCAAGACATGGAATTATGTAGTGTATATTACACATCACTAAATTTCCGTGATGTTATGCTGGCTTCTGGAAAATTGCCACCCGATGCTATACCAGGCGATATGGCAACTCAGGATTGTGTTTTGGGAATGGAATTTTCAGGCAGGAATTCAGAAGGCAAACGAATCATGGGAATTTTGCCTGCTAAGGTAAGCATTTGGAAGCCTGTTTATATTTCAGTCTAACCTCTCTTGTAACCTTAAAACGGCCACAGACTCAATTGAAACATGAAATTGGACATTACTAAGTGTGAAATATTTACAAAATTATTTTTTTTACTAGGGCCTAGCAACATCAGTTGATACTGCTAAACGTTTTCTCTGGAATATTCCTGAAAACTGGACAATGGAGGAGGCTTCCACTGTGCCTGTAGTTTATTGCACAGCTTACTATGCTCTAGTGACAAGGGGAAGAATAAGGAAAGGAGAAAAAGTACTTATTCATTCTGGAAGTGGTGGTGTTGGCCAGGTAAGCATGATCAATTATTTTTTCCTTTTACATTTTATATTAGACTTGTCTAAATTAATGTGCATAATTTGTTTTAGTAATATTTCATGTTCCCCATTTAAAATTATTTTATGCAGGCAGCAATATCAGTTGCACTCAGCTATGGTTGTGAGGTTTTCACCACTGTTGGATCCAATGAAAAGAAAGAATATCTTAAAAGCTTGTTTCCTCAACTGCAGGATAGAAATTTCAGCAATTCTAGAGATTTGTCTTTTGAACATGATATATTGAAAGAAACAAATGGGCATGGTAATAACTTTCTCTCTTAACACAGTTTTATTTGGCTAAAGGTAGCTTGAACATGCTTGATTCTAGATATGTTTTATGAACTGTAAACATATTTACTATATCAAGCTTGATGTTTAAGTTTTCATTGTAGTAAATTAATTTCAGAATTCACCTTCCAACTTTAATTTGAAATCTTTATTTTCATTCTGTTAAAATATTTATTTACAGGTGTTGATCTTATACTTAATTCGCTTGCTGAAGAAAAACTGCAAGCAAGTGTAAGGCTTCTAGCTCGACATGGCAGATTTTTAGAAATTGGAAAATTTGATCTGTCAAATAATACACCATTAGGTATACTTTCATAAATATCCATTGCCTAAAATTGCAACAAATATTTTAAAATATTTTACAAGGATTAACCACACAAAAACTGGCTCTAAAATATTCTCATGTTTGACATTTTTCTTCAGGCTTATCAATCTTCTTGAGAAATGTCTCATTCCATGGCATATTACTTGATGCCTTGTTTGAAGATAACACTGTGGAGTGGGAAGAAGTTGCAAATATGGTTCGTGATGGAATGTCTAGTGGTGTTGTGAAACCACTAAAAGCAAGTGTCTTTAGCAAAGATGAAATAGAAGAAGCATTTAGATTTATGGCTCAAGGAAAACATATTGGAAAAGTTGTTATCAAGGTAAATGCTATTAATGAGCTAAACTTTTATTATGATTCTCTAAACTTAGAAATAATTCAGAAACTTAATGTGTTTCTTCTATGTACATTTTTAAAATATTTTTTGTAATAAAAAATAGGTTAGAAGTGAAGAAAAAGATGAAGTTGCCACACCACCCTCAGTATCAATAGCTGCTGTTGCAAGAACAACTTGTAACCCTTCCAAATCTTATATCATTACTGGAGGACTTGGAGGATTTGGTCTTGAACTTGCTCAATGGCTAGTTGAAAGAGGAACAAAAAATTTAATTCTGTCATCCAGGTAAGTGTTAAAAAATTAAAATTGTTACCAATGCTATAAAAAATTATAAGATGTAAAAAAATGTTAATTGTTCAATATATATTAGCTCTTCATTCTAATGGCAGTATTTTACCTATTTTCATCTCATGATAGATCTGGTATCAAAACGGGTTATCAACACAGAAAGGTTCAACAATGGAAAGCTGCTGGTGTTAATGTAATTATTACAAAGAATGATGCCAAAACAATTGATGGCGCCAGAGCATTGTTGCAAGAATCAAATAAAGTAGGACCAGTGGGTGGCCTCTTTAATCTTGCCATGGTGAGCAATTTTACAATTTTCATGATTAAGGTGAACTAATTGTCTAATTGAGTACACTGTCAGACTAAATATCTTACTCAATTATATATAAATTTTTTAAGGTGTTAGCTGATGGCTTATTTGAAAATCAAACAAATGAAATGTACAAGACTGTCTGTGAGCCAAAAATACAAGGTACAATTAACCTGGATCAAGCAACAAGAGAGCTGTGCAAAGATTCTTTAGACTGGTTTGTTGTCTTCTCATCTGTCAGCTGTGGCAGGGGAAATCTTGGTCAAACAAATTATGGATTTGCCAATTCTGTAATGGAGAGAATATGTGAAAAAAGAAAAACAGATGGTTTTCCAGGTAACATTAAAATATTGTTTTTAAAGGTAACTTCTAACTATTCATTTAATAACGGTAACAACAGAGGCACGAAGGTATTTTTCACATTAGCCGTTTAAAAAACCATTTTAATAAAACGGCCTATCAAGTAGTAAAAAAGACAGTAACACATAACTTTTAAAAATGTGGAATAAAGAAATTTTACATAGTTATAATACGAAAGAGAATATAATGAATGAGAAATGCTGCAGTGATCATCTCAGGTCATGAAATAGTTTTTTTGTTCAATTTTGAATATATATTTTCTGATATAGTTTTATTTTATTAGGAAGATTTAGGATAGAAATATTTTTAATCATGTCTTTACTGAATTAATTTAGTAATAAACCATTTAGTTAATGATATATCATTTGTTCTTCAGGTCTTGCCATTCAGTGGGGAGCTATTGGTGATGTAGGTGTTATTGCAGAAAGTATGGGAGGCAATGATACTGTAGTAGGAGGTACCTTGCCACAAAGAATGACCTCTTGTCTGAATGCCCTTGATCAATTCCTGAATTTGAACTACACAGTTGTCTCTAGTTTTGTGATAGCTCAGAAAGATACAAGAAAGAAAGAAGGGGGCCAGAGCAGAGCTAATTTAGTGGATTCAGTTGCTAGGATTCTAGGTAAATTTATTAAATAGCTAATTATCAACACCAAATTGATGTGACAATTGTGTGTTGGTTGCCTAATGTTTTATAAATCTTATGTAATCACTTCATAAAATATCTTCATTTATCTTTTAAATAGGTGTGAAGGATGTATCAAATGTTGATCTTGATACAAGCTTAGCGGATCTTGGTCTTGATTCTCTCATGGGTGTTGAAATAAAACAACTACTTGAGAGAGATTTTGAAGTATCGCTTAGCACGCGAGAAATCAGGATGTTGAATTTCAGAAAAATAAAGGAAATGAGTAAGTGGGTTATTTATGGCTTTTCCTTAAAACTTTTTTTTTAAATAATTTTTTTTATTAATGGATGTTAAAAATGTTTACAGACGGTGCTGAGGAAGAAGTTGTCTCAGACACATCAGAAACTGAACCAGTGCAGATAATTCCAGAAATTGCAGTTTTACCCAAAAATGACTCCACAGTGTCTAGTAGATTTGATTTTACTCAGATGATGCCTAAAGCAACTATTCGTAAGATCAACAGTATACAGAATGGTCTCAAGCCCCTGTTTATTGTACATCCAATTGAAGGTGATTAGAGATTTGTTTAAAAAAAATTTCTCATCTATTTAACTAAAATATTTGTTTGATTCATTACCAATATGATGCACTTGATTTTAAAAATATAAATTTTCAGGCAGTGTTATTGCTCTTGAAAGTTTGGCAGCCTGTCTCCCATGTCCAGTTTATGGTCTTCAAGTAACAAGTTCAGCTCCACTCACATCAATTGAAGCTCTAGCTGGGCACTATCTTCAGGTATGAACTTATTTTGATTATACAGTAATACATTTGTAAAAGGTGTTAAATTAGTCATTTCCTTCTCCCTTGATTCATTTTCAAACCGTTAACATTGTTTGCATTTTGTATCTTTTGAAATATTGATGCTTATATAGTTTAAATAAATGTTTTATATATTATTATACATAAATAAAGAATGAGTGTTCTAAATGAACATCCTTTAAATTTCAGCATTTAACTTCAGTTGACCAGAATGGTCCTTACCGGATTGCTGGATATTCATTTGGTGCTGTTGTTGCTTTAGAAATGGCTAACCAGCTTAGGAAACAATTTCCTGATCGTTCTGATATTGTTCAGTCTTTAACTTTGCTTGATGGCTCACATCGCTTTGTTGAAATGTACACATCTGTTTATCGCAAAGCAATGAAACTGAGCACTTTATCAGAAGAACAAGCTGCTAGTCTCTGTGCTTTTGTAAGACTGTTCATGAAATTTGATGAAACACCAGTAAGTATTTACTATACTCTTTTCTAACATTTCTTTGTTGTACTAAAAAATATTTCAAATGTTCTCAATGTTTTAAGATAGAACACCTTGCTTAAGAAAATGTACATTCTATAAAAATCAGGTATTCCAACAAATGTCTACTGCCAAGGACCTTAATGAAAGAATACAAATTGCTGTTGACATTTTAATGAAAACTGGGAAATTTACTCTGAGAGAAGATCTTGAGACCTTGGCCAAATCCTTTTATTCCATGCTGTCAATCAGTGAAAAGTACAAACCACAAACGTATTCAGGAGATATTACTTTAGTGCGAGCACTCCAAAACAGTGTCAATTCAAGTAGTATAGGAGAAGACTACGATTTGCAACAGGTATGTTAAATTAGTTTTAAAAATATTAAGCACAAGTTGTGCAGCATCACTACTACTTGTTATAGTTATACAGTGTAAGTTTTGCTGAAAAATATAATTAAAAGTAATATTGTATTATTAACCATTAGTGAATACATCTACATGATAGAAACTATTGATTTTTCTCAGGTTTGCAGTGGTAAAGTGCAAGTTGCAGTTGTTGATGGAGATCACGAATCATTCATACTTGGTGACGGTGCTCAAAGAGTAGCCAATATTTTGATTCCCTTGTTACCGTAAAGAAGTTAATGAAAGGTCATAAAGAAGAGTATAATCGTTGAGCAAAACAAGTCCAAGAACTACGGTTTTTGTGATTCAAATTTGGGGTACTGCAGCACATTTTAGTGATAGCCTAATGGTCATTAAAGAAATGTTCAGTCTCATTTAAAAATTGACATTTGATTGAGTGCTTGGTTTAATGATTTACTATTTTGTAGTAGCTTGAAGCGACAACTGAGTTTTTTTTAAAAATTACATGTAAAAAAAACTTACGAATATGTTGTTAAAGCGAGAATTTTTCCAGTTAAAGAATTCCTTCCTTGAATGTTTTTGTATCCAAACCATGTTTGATCTGAAGACATCTTAAAATGAGACTTATTTTTTATACTTCTATATGAGATGCATGTCTCTGTACTTGTCAGTCACTGATATTTGATTTATTTATTTATTAGATCCATGCTCTCAAAAGCTAGTGTATCAATATAGATGGCCCGATATGTATTTTTTGTATTGCAGTAGTTTGTCTATGTAAAATACAATTGTTGGTGTTGTGACTTTTTATCTGTTTAATGTGTTCTATTGCAATTTATGTTTATTAAAGGCTTCCCTCTTCTTTTTTTATTGTTGATACTTTTAGCTAGATTTTTGGATATGATATTATATTGTTGAAATATTTTTAATTAAAGGTCATTTATATTTATTTTCTGTATTACTTTAAATACTCATGGAGTATATTGTTTGAATGAGATGAGTTTATCTAAACTTAAAATATCAGATTTTATTTTTTGTACCATTCTGAGTAAATAGGTTAATAAAATTAGCTATTTTGTTTCAGAAGATCCACAAAGCCACCATAATATTATCTTGAAAATTAAATTTACTTTTTGAAAAAACATGTACATTTAATGATCATCATTCCTTTTTATACAAATAAATGTCATTATCATCATCACTGATCATAATAGAAATCCACTGAGGTTGCTTTCTCATAAAGACTTCATGTTTTTCTTTTATAGATGTTAACTTTAGAACATGTATTTGCATGTTTTTGAATGATTGCAAACACTAGTGTGAATGTACAAATGTGCATTCTTGATAATTGTTATGGTGAATGGGCTTAACTTTGCCACATCTTTGTATTATACTTTTCTTTTTTTTACTTAATAACCATTTCTGAATGACTCAATGCAATTATAGTTTGTACTTGTATGGAGAGACAAGAGCTGAATTTCTAAACTAGTCTGGTGTTTTCAGTTGTAGAGCACCTTGAACTTCTTACTTCTTCCATGATAGCTCTCTGATGCATATGCTAACATTTTCTCTTTTGCTTTATTAGCAGTCCATTTTGAAACATTGGTCTTCAAAAGATTTTATAGTATTCATGTTTTCATCTTTGAATTTCTGCCAAGTGTTACTAGGTATTCATTCTGGAACCGTATATAATGTTAATGGAACAATCAATAAAGTTTTTTTTAAAATTCTGTTTTTTTATGTGGTAAATGTTGGTTTTGATTTTATGTTTCTACAGTTTTAACTGTCTGTGAACATGATGACTTGGGTACCTTTATAGCTAGTTCGATGATATTTCATATACAAGTATATCAAATTTGTAGTTCTACATCTTCTCAGCAATTTCCGGTAACCAGAAGTGGAACTTATTCTACTTTTTGGTTTTTCAAAAGGCCATAACTTGAGCACTGTTTCAGATAGATAGATGAAATGTCACATAAGTTAAAGATCTTATTCTCTGCCCGTCTGTCAAACTTTGAGTAATTTCTGTTTACCGAAGAGGTACTAAACGCTATTACAGATTTCTCAAGAAATGGGTATGAATTTATAAAGTACTAATATTCCGTACTATTAATATTATACACATTGTTTGCTGTTCACTTTGTGCGCAATTCTTTTTTCTCTGAGATTCTTTTCTGTTTTAAGAAGTTAAAGGGATTTTTAAAGTGATTGAAAATCATGTCTATATTCCAAGTTAAATATGAATATTGGATAATCTTTATGGGAGAGCACATCTGCACCTCTGCTTTATAAATTGTCATGTTCTCCACTCAGTATATGCATACCATCTAGTTGTTGACATTCTGAGAAGTGACCACAAATCAATACAATATACTGAAATTAGTCAGTTTCTGAACGCAATGCATATTTTAAGAACATTATTCAAAATTAGCTTTTGTGTCAAATACAAATTGTGCTATAAAGTTCTAAAATGCAAGTAAGTTAAAAAGCCGTGTGCCCTACAGTTTGACTAAGTATCCTACTTCCTATCTACACAGCCAATTTAGTTTTTATACAACTAAATTGGTACTATATAAAGGGCATCATCTTGATAGGCAATTTAGTTTTAATCTGGAGTTTATCTTGTCACGGGTGATCACATATAGCCCAGCCAATGGGTGACATGCTATTTCTGAACTTGCTGAGGTGATATTTCATCAGTTTTAAATTGTGAAATATTTATGAACCAAATCTGTCATTAGAGTGAACTACTATACCAAAAAGAAAAGTGGAGGAACCATGACTTTTTGTAGGATACATTCATTACAAAAACAATTTTTTTTCCCAACATGAATAAAGACAGTTATACAAGAATATCCAGGTTCTCTTATTTTGAAAAGAGAATTTACAAATAGTCAATGATTTGGCAAAGTGGTATGATGCTTTTATTATGAAAATAATAAAAGCCCGTTTTCAAAATTGAGACATAAAATTATAATTATCACAGATGTGTTCAACAGAATAAAGATTTTAAAGATCTAAGATCAGTCCTGTGCTTTGAGTGCAGCTTCAATGGCTGCTTCAGCTCCAGCTGACACAGAATCTTGGCTTTTCTGTTAGGATAAAAACAAAGATAAAAAGATAAAAACAAAAGAATCAAGCTTTTGTTAAAGTTGTTAAATAACTAAATTCAATAAATAAATGAGAGAAAATAATCATATGGTAACTGAAGGTTTATAAAAATTTAAGATCAACTTTAACATAAGCCGTAAGTTAAATTATCCTATGAAGGCCTGCTGAGAACAGAAAAAACCGCCTGCATTTTAATTTTACTGCCTAAAAATTTGTCCTATTATTGATTTGAATTATTATTGCTATTAATTAAATATAACATTGGCAATTTTAAAAAGTTATCTTACTCGTTGCTCCATGATAATGAGATCACTAAGTCTTTTGACTTCCTTCTTATTGGCAAGAAGTGCGGACTGTTTATGCATGTAGTCTTTCATTTGAGTTTGCTGTTCTTTCAAAAATATTTGCCGTTCATGTTGATTGGTTCTATACATACTAGTAAAGGTAGTTTACATAAAATAAGATTGGATGAGAAAAAAATTTCTGCAAAAAACATTTGAAAAATTTCTATTGTAATTGCAACATATACTTTCCTAAATGATAGATGATATTTACTGTTTTAAAATTGTAATGCTAAAAGTTTAACCAACCCTTGAAAACTGTTTCTTATTCTCTGAATATTTTTTGAAGATTCCTCTATCACATCTTTGTACGTAGGTGCATCTAGAGTAAACCTGTTAAGGAGTTTCTGTATGGGATATTCAAATTAAGGCCAAGAAGAAAAACTGCACTTAATAAAATTTATTTACATATTTCTTTATTTCCTTCTGAAATGTAGCTAACAATATATATATATATATATATATATATATATATATATATATATATATATATATATATATATATATATATATATATATATATATATATATATATAAAAGCATGGTTGAATCATAATTATCTCATACTACTTGTAAGTTGTTTGGTTAGAATATGGAATTTAGTGATTTTTCCTATAAAATACTCAGTTATGAAAAGTTTGGTAGCACCAAAATTAAAGCAGGAATATTTTTGAACATATAAAATAAAGCTTATCCAAATAAGCAAGATAGTGAAGCTAAAACACATATTTTATTTTATAATTAGTAAATAGGATAACTTCTTCTGGACACTGATTGCCTAGCATTTAAAACAAACAGTACGTCACATCCTAAATTACAGCCTGTTATAAGAAGCAAGTTTTCCGAAAATTAAATTTTTTTAAAAACTTATACAAAGGATATGCAGGCAAGTTAACCATTTCCACTCTTTGTAGACGAACAATTTTCCCAGCAACCTTTTCAAGGCCTCTCCTCTTTAGAAAATGGGCAACCAATGGGCTTTTGCCATTTCTGTTAAATACTAGCTTTGCAAAGTCACAGCCATGGCCAACAGGGTGGGACTGTGAATCATTAGACAACAGGCACAGTAAAGAATAATTATTAGGTATAAGTAACCTAAATGATACCAGCTACACGATAAAAGTATTTATCGCTGCAGATAATATAGGCATATGTGGCACTCAAGACATTTTTAAGGAAGAATAAAAAATGCAGTAAATAAACTTTTTTTTCAACTAGATTACAATTTTGAGTGTTTAAATTTATATTTTTATTAATATTTTTGTATGGTTTAAAATAAAGTTGACCATTATCACTCAGAATTTTTTTAGGTAAACGCTTAGTTGGTTTTTATAAAACAGTATAAAAATAGAATTAAAATAGATAAACACATTATTTTAATCCTGAGAGTTTGAAGAAAGAACCACACTACACTTACAATATATTTTCCATGAAAGTTGGAATGCTGATTACCTGTGCTTCATGCTTTCTTGAGTATTTTTTATCCAAAATATTTCCAACAGTCCTCAAAGCTAGGGACTCACCCTTGTCATTATCGCTGTCAGATTCTTTGATCGGAACTAAACTGTTGTTGAACCTTTTCAATTCCTGACCTGTTGATCAACACAAACTTGACAATGACACGTTTAGGTAAAATATTTTATCAATGAAAGTTTACCTGAAAATATCTAAATAAAAAATGATAAATTTGAGCATGTAAACAAAAAAAAAATACAGTACTGGCCAACAAATAACTAATTGTTACTTAATTTTAAATTTATAATGATAATCTAAAATATCTTAATCTAGTTTATCATTGTCATATTATCTTGATACCTATTTGGCCTATTTACCTAATAACTAAACTAAACAATTTTAAAAGACATGAGTTATCCTACATTAGAAAAAGGATAAGAACTATACACTAAAATAAAATAAATCACCTTCTCTGTGTTGTAAGCTAAGTTTTTTAGTGCGATATATCTGGGCATCTGCTACAGCCTCTATAGCACCATTAGAACTTAGTGATATTGGAGACAATGGTTTAGTGGGAGAAGATGACCCGGTCATGCTCTGTCAATGATTAAATTATTTTTTTATTTGAGGAGTGGATCATAGAATTAATGGATAAACTTTCTGTCAAGATTTTAGGTTTACTTATATCATATGTAAGTAAAACACACTGTCCAAAGATATAGGATGAGATGTGTTGGATAAGTGAGATAAGAAAAACATGTTTACTTTTTAAACTGAGATTCAGCATGGCCTTCAATTGCAAAAATTTGGTTTATATTTCATGCATTATAATTTTAATGTACAGTAATAATTGGGGAATGGGGGTGGAATAGATGTGGAAAAAATGAAATTGAAAGATGTAAACTGGTAATGAAAACCAACAACCGTAGTGTTTTTATTTGCAGAAAAGAGATATTTTTTAATGAAAAGTTGATTTTTAATCTATACCTTAAAACAGTTTTCTTAAAACTTACATGTGAACTAGTCAAAATAATTATTGTAATGTTAATCTATAACTTAAAACAGTTTTCTTAAAACTTACATGTGATACAGTTTTCCTTGGACTGGTGTTGGCCTGTGTAGAAGAAATTGATGGAACAGTGGTAGACATGGGGCTGGTATGGTTGTCAATCAGACTGTCCAGGTAATCAAAGTTGATTAATGGGCTGCCTGTAAAACATTTTGAATTAAAGGATTAATTCATAAATAAACATAAAAAAAAATCAATATCAGAAGGCAGAAAAAAAACAAAGGTCAAAATTCAACACTGAAATTTTAAATATTTTTTTAATTTTGAAAAAGATGTCACATTTTAAAAACTACTCTTGCGCATAATCAGTTGAGAGGTATACTTAATTGTGTTGGAGGGGATCGCTTCCAACACTAAAATTAAGAACAAAGAAGAAGAAAAACTACTACAATTATTAATACAATAACTAGCTTAGATTTTGAAATGTAGAAAAACTATTTAGGGCTTTATAAATTAAATTCATTTAAAAACAGAAAGACTTACCACTCTTCTTATTCATCAACTCCTCTCTCTGTTTTATATTGGCTGGCTCTAAAGGATTCATATCCCATGAAAGCCAATTTCTTGGAGCTGGTCTAATCCCTGTGAAATAATATCTTTTTTTTACAGAATTAACCAAAGAACCAACTGTTCACATTCTAATAAATTTTAGAAAATAAAACTTAAAATACAACAATAATTTTTAATAGTAAATTATGAAGCTATTTTGGTAAACTAATGGAAAAATGTCTTAATAGCAATTACTGTACCAGTCATCCATTCATGAACCAAAAAAGTGAGATCATTTTTAAATGTTTCACCAAACTGTCTGTAGGAATCAGGAAATGAAAAACAAAATGCTGAATAAATAGCCTGTGACATCAGTTTAGGAAAATCCTGATGAAAGATAAAAAATTTAAAAAATCAGCATCAGCAAAGAAAAATACATCTCTATTAGTATCAATTACTAAGATACAATTATTAAGATACTGCACAATTGTAAAAATATTGATTTAATTAAAATGTATTTTAAAATCCATTTTTTTAAATGAAATGCTTGGCAGTCACATTTTAAATATTTACTAACCCACAAATAAATTGGTAATGCACAGTGGTAGGAGCCAATAAGTCTGATTTAAAAAAAAAAAATTCTGAATTCATAGATGATTTAAAAGTATTTTTTGTTTTTATTTTTCACAGCTACAGTCCTACCATAAAGAACAAATCTTTGAGGATTGGGTCTGTGTTATCCATCATAAGGCTAACATAATTGTCAGCCACTCTGTTAAATATATTTGCCTGGGATGAAGGACTTGGTTGAAATTTTTCTTGAAAAAAATACCAGAATATATCCTGTAAAAAAATTAAAACTTCATAGACTTAAAAAGAGGTTAACAAATGATTTCCTCACATAAAAATCAAATAAAAGCATAAATAGAATTATTTTACATTTCCTGTATTTGTACAACTCATTATTAACAGGTTCTGAAGTAATGTACACATTATTGTTAATATAACATCTACAATTGCTTTTTTAAAAATTAAATTAAAATAATAACTTTAATTATATTTTAATTATAAAATACAAAGTATTTTTTTTTTAAATCGAGTGCTTACAAGAAATATAGCTTCAGACAGGGAAGAAAATAAAAGCCGTTTGACTTCTTGGTAGTTAGGCTGTAAAAGTAGGGAAATATATTAGTGACATTAAAACAACAGATGTTTTTGGTGGTAAAGCGTGTGATTTACTATAAAGTGCATGATACCTGACGCTGTTTAATGCTGATTTCTGTAGGCATAGGTCAGAATAAATTTCACTGTTTTTTGGAAACAAGAAATCTAAACTTTGTGTCGCTACATTTGTTATCAGTTAGTAGGATATGAGTTGAGTTCACTAGTATTATAAACCCACTTTACTGGTAGAGATAAATTGAAACACTTACCCTTCCACAATGATAGCCAGAAGCTTTCAAAACTCGGACAAATATGTCTGTTGATGTAAGATCTCCAGGTAAGTGTGTTACACCTGTTGCATCAAACCCAGGGTATTGATAAAGCTGTTGGCAGGTTATAAATAAAAAATAGGCCAAAAAATAACAAGTGGGCTTTCATTTTCAGGTTATTTTTATAAATAATCTCTTATGCAACAAGAACTGCTTAAAAAACATATTCCCTATGTACCGGCAGTTATTTGCACACTACTATCTGTGCTTATGAATCAGTTTCTGACCCAGGGTAGAAAGAAGGCCTAAACAACGATAAAGGAAGTTCCTTAACTCTGAAATCTGTACACAACAGTTGCAGTTAAAGCTTACCTCAACAAACTTTGGCTTGCTAGGATCTCCTTTTATGCCTGTCTGATTACAAGAAATCAAATTTTGACAACACAGTAAACATTTGTACACATATATATATATATATATATATATATATATATATATATATATATATATATATATATATATATATATATATATATATATATATATATATATATATATATATATATATATATATATATAAACATACATTTTTTTTCAAAACAAGTGTTAAATTGGAGATTTGAAAAAAGGCTTACACCATTCTGTTTTTGATTTGTTTTCATACTGATCTTTGTTATGTTTTTAGCTCTCTCACTTATCTTTGGTGCTAGTGCTGCAAAAAAAAGATATTCCTATTTAATAACACTGGAATTTTTTTTAAATATAAAGAAAATCTAATGAAAATAAATAGTCGAGTATTAGTATCTAAGAGCTAGATATTTTTGCTGGGTTTAACTAATTATGAACATTATATATTTACCAAAAAACTAAAAATCCAAATAGTTTGAATATTTTATGTAATTTTAATGTACCGATAATGAATACATAATCTGCTGTATAAATTATTACATAACATAAATGACATAGATCTATATTGACCTTACTTGTAAATGAAAATATATTTATGGTAAATTTGAAATAAATTAAGTTTTAAGAAAAGTTGTTAATTTTTAAAATTTTGATAATTTTAATCAACTGCCTTACTCACTGGTTTTTATTGTGTACATCCCAGCAAACTTGCAAACTTCTTTGTTTTCATTAGCTGCAGTATAAATATTTCAGAACATTTTTTTAAATGATTCAGCAGTAAAAACTTATATAGAAATCATTTTTTAAACAGCAACAGGTGACAAAAACCTTGATAAATTTTACTTTAAAAACTTATATTAAAATAAGTACACACCTATTTTTAAATTTCGCGTTATTTTTTTTGCACTTGCAGATCTGTACAAGTACTCATCTTCAGAAGAAGCCCTGCTCTCACACACCAATGCTGTGTAGTTCTGTAGCTTCTTATCAAGAAGGCCAATTTTTTGATTGACATCTTCTATTGATCCAATCAGAAAAGCTATACAAAGTTAAGGTTTTTAGTACTGTCAGAGATGAAGGAAATGTTTCTACAATCAGTTGTATTCCTACAGTCGAGTCTAGCTTAACATCATAAAATCAAGTTCAAAACAAAATATCAAGTCTGTTTTCAGACAACACATTGCAGTGCTATTTCCTGTTATGCCAAAAATAGTTGTTTAATTGCCTATGAAATAGCCCCTAACTAAATATAACAATAACTCTTAATAAATTGCGTATTTTTTTAAATTTTTTCAGTTATGTGCAACTATAATCTTTTTGATAGTTCATGATAGTAAAGTGGTATCTGAGTTATAGTTGGTCTAAGTTAGACTGGTTTATGTTTAAGCTAGTCAAACAACCTACACCACCTTTTTTGAAGAGCCCATCTTTTTAAACTATTATCATGAATATCCCATGTATACCCCAAAGATTATGTGAGAAGTCACTAAGACATATGAGGGATCCTACACGTACCTCATATAACAAAAAAAGACATTTTACCCATTGATGAATCAGGCATTTTAAAATCATTTTGAATACTACTTTTTTAAATAGTAAAAACTATTTTCAGTTTTCATTAGGCCTATATATATATATATATATATATATATATAGGCCTATACATTAATCATAAAACATGGACATTAACTGATTCTTTATAAATGATATTTAAAAGTGTATTTCAAAATGTTTAGACGAATGAACTAATGAAAACAATTAACTAAACCATATGCCCAGGCCTAATATCTATAATTATAATATCAAAAAACAAAACTCTGAACTAGCTTCAATAACTTAAACTTGTATAGATTTTTGTTCACCTGATCTGATAGTATAGTATATAGTATTAGTAAAAGTTATTCAAGTTATTGTTTTAAAAACTGAGTTATATCAGTCCCAAACTAGTTAAATTACTATGATGAAGTATGATGTCTGTGTCCTAAATTATTAAATATCCAGGTTTGTAGAAATTGTTTTTTTTCCCCACAAAAATGTTTTATTAGCCTAATATTTAAATATGTTGATTTTTTTTTAAAAAGATACGAGATTTTGTTCCTTGTTTGGATTTTAATTGCCGCTTTTTTAATCTTATTTTCTCTGGAGCTTCATCTAAGCTTTCATCCAGACGATCCATTGGAGACCCTACACGATTTATATAATCCATGATTAATTTTATTTTGGTTTAAACTTTTGTATTGTGTAGGCTAGTAGTGGAGCTAAAGTAAGTCCTCGTTCATTGTGAGGTAGTCGCCATTATTGTTATGCAGAGCAACGATGAACAAAGTCGATGACGAATAGATATACAAAGTTTCGTATAAACATTATAAGAAAGGCCCACATTTCCTGCTGTACTGTTATATCTTTACATCTGAAATGAAAAAATAAATACTTTTAATGCAGTTGTATTCTGTATTTGAGATCTAACATAGTTATCTGTGCCTTTGCAAGCATATCGTGGATTGCAACAGATTCGAAACTGCACCCAGCACTGCATCAAAGCGAACCATCTCGGTTATTTGTTTCTTCCGGTTTTGCTTTCGTTTCTAGCTAGATCAACATTAAAAAAAAGTGAAATAAGTTTACCAAAAGGTTGAATTACCATATTATTATCATAGGTTTTGAAACAAGAGTTAAATTAACACTTACTAAAACAGCCCGAAGATCTAGAGTTCAGATCTCGGTTCGGACTTGCTTGTGACTGCTTGCTTGATAATACTAAATTAATAAAATTATAATTCAATAATCAATAATCAATATGGATGATTTGATCATCATTCATTCCATCAATCAACAATTTTAATTAATATGATAATTTGAAAATTCGTATGATATTTCGAGTGGTCCCTTTGAATCCCGGCCAGAACGCTCCCCCCCCCCCCCCCCCACCATCACCCCCACCCACAAGTATTACAAGTACAAAATGAAAAATAGGCTTAAAAAAAGATCACAAAATATTGTGTTTTTAAGGATAAGTTAATTTTAAATAAGTTAATAGGCCTACTAAACTAAATAAATGTATAGTATAACAGTATAAGTAAAATATTTGTAATACACTAGGGTCTATAAATAAAAATAATGCACTCTTTATTTTTTTATTAGCATTGCCATGTCGTTTTGCTCTTGGTCAAAAGCAGAACATTATCGGGATCACTTTGAAACAGGTCAGTTATTTTATCCTAACCTCAGTTCAATAATTAGAACCCTATTTTGGATCTGCATTAATAATTTTTTCATGTTGTTGCAATATGTTTTTGTATAATAAAATTAAAAGAGTTGTTAAAATAACCTGCATCTCATCATTTTTCAGGAACTTATGTATGTGCAAAATGTGGATATGAACTCTTCAGTAGTCGATCGAAATACCAGCACTCTACCCCATGGCCTGCATTTACAGAAACTATCAATCCTGATAGTGTGCAGAAAATTCCTGAATCATCTACGGCAATAAAAGTACATAAACAGAATATAGGGAGGGTCATCAGGGTTGGGCTGCGAAGCTCATGTTGTTAAAGTTAAACCAAAAACTCCTGAGTTTGAACCCCCGGGCAAATAATCTAACAGGGGAAACTCTAAAATCAAATAGTTTGTTCATTGATGGACACAGGCTATAAAAGCAAATCCTGAAAGAAAAGTAGGCTGATATTGGAGTCCATGACCAATATGGCGCATAACAAGTTGACACATAATATTTAATTGTGTTGGAGGAAAACCATCCAGCATAACAATTAAGAAAGAATAGAAAAACTACTTTTTAAGAGCAGCAGTTTCCAATCCATAATGGAAGATAATATATATTCTCTCCAGGGCACGTGAAAATTCATGGGTGCTGTATATAGAAATTAAATTGTGTGGGTGGTGGTGTGCCAAAGCTTTTGATGATTTAATTTTAAAGTAAGGGAGGCAAGTTGGAAAAAGTTTGGAAACTTCTGACCTAGAGTTACTGTACCTTTTTCAATACTGAAAAAAAAAGTTCTAACATGTAGTGTGGTAACCTGTTACTTCATATCCTGCAGATACTATGTGGTAAATGCAAGCATAGTCTTGGTCATGAATTTATCGGTGATGGACCTCGTGAGGGTCAATCAAGATTTTGAATTTACAGTTCAGCTCTCAGATTTGTATCAAAAGGTGTGTAGATTATCTGTAAATTTAACTCAAGTGTCGGCGTGGTCGAGTCGGTAAAGCTCATGGTTGCTAAACCGAAAATTCTCGAGTTCGAACCCTCGGGCAGATGAGGCTTGTTAGCTGGGGACAGCCACTCTTCTAGGAGAGACTACTCCAAAATTAAACAACTGCTGCCTTGTAGTTTGTTCTTGGTTGGACAAAGGCTATGGAAGCAAATCCAAAAAGAAAAGCAGGCTGAAATCGGAGTCAATGGCCTCAATGGCGCATAACCAGTTGACACGTACCGCTTAATTGTGTTGGAGGCGTGGTCGAGTCGGCAAAAAGCTCATGGTTGATAAATTCGAACAAAGTCTCGAGTTCAAACCAACTGGCAGATAAATCTCGATCTCCTTCAACACTAATAATTAAGAACGAAGAAGAAGAAAGAAGAAGAAACTCAAGTGTTATTGTTACTTCTAGTCTACAGGTATTAAAAATAATAAATCTACTTTTTTACATAATATATGATAATGTCTTGTAACTTCTATTGTACAAGAAGAAATATAATAGCTACTATGATCAAATAACAACATAAAAAGTATTTTTTTAAAGTTTTTTTTTTATTGTTAGAATTAGAATAGCCTTATAATAGTTATAAATTTATATAAATGATACAAATAACAGAAAAAAATTAAAAGATTAGGATCTCTTAAATATAAACTACAAACAGTTTTTTTTTCTCTTTTTATTTAGATGCTACTGAGAAAGCTGAGGCAAACTAAAGCTGCTGTACTGTTGCCTAATGTTATGACATGGTCTGGTCAGAGCCTTTATTGGAAAGCCAGATCATTGATTTTTTAATTAGGTCTAATTAATGATAATTAGTTTTGAAAATATTTATGTACATTTAGAACTCTTATTTTATTTATACGTAAATACATACACACTCATTTGTTGTAATTAAAAGGGTGTCAGAATATGAGTATATCTTTTATTTTAAACAATGTTTGTAACATAAACTTAATGTTTGTAACATAATGTATTGTAAATGTTAATGGAAAAAAATGTGTTTTTTTACCTTGAGAAAATTATTATAAGGTTTTTTAGCCTGTAGTAGCTCAGTGAACATACCCATTAAATTTGAGAAAATAAATTCTTTATAGTTGCAGGTTTATGCACAGATTATCCCTTTCTTTTGAGCTGCAATCATATAGTGCTAATTTTAAATGCACTTTTTCATTGTTTTGCTTAAAAATTTTAACCTTGTAATTATTTTCTAGTTTAGTACTTTAACCTGTGTTTTGGTAAATAAAATGACACCTTAACTAAAGGAAAATCATGCCTTTGATAATGTTAAATTGTGTGCACACAAAAATTCTCTATGCTAGCAGGTTGTGAACATATTTTACATATGTTAAGAAATAGTTGAAATTTTACAGATTTTATTTTTAATAAAATGTATAATGTACATTAAGAGAATTACCTTGTTACTGTATCCCTTTTTCTACATATATTTCTAGGCTTATATACATTCTGCTAAACATTACTATATCTAAAAAAATATTGCTTTTATATTAATTATGAAATATTTTTTATGTATTTTCATTTCTTCATCTTTTCCCATTCGTGCCCAAGACATATGGGGCAGATGAAGTCAAGTTTATCTGCTTCAGAGACCTTTTCATAAGAAGGGATAGTGTGGTCAGCACTATGCCCAGCAGCCTTTGTTTCCCTAATATGAGTTAGGTACCTATCAGAGCTGGGTGGACTCAGGGACATTCTGCTGACTTGAACTTGGATTCTAACTCAAGACTTTTGGGTTAACAGACTAGCTCTCTACTGCTAGGCCATGCCGTCCTACTATATATTTATAAAAGGTTGTAATTTATAGGAATACACAATGCATTGTATTTTAAGTTACATTCTGAGCAATGCTGAAAATTTTATTGTTTTGTTTTAAAGAAAAAAAATATAATTCAAGACTTTTTCTTCTCCTTGTTCAGCCAAGCTTCAGGTCTGTCCAGCCAGAAGTTGTAACTTTTTCTCCACATAAAACGTTTTATGGTCCCACAGAGTAAACATGTCACAACTGTATGTGTTTCTTTTTTACCTGCAAGTTAACAAAAGTTAGACATACATTTAAAAATTAGTTAGGTACAATTTGATTGTCATTAATAAACCTTTCAAATCATTTTTATTGTTTTGTAATTTTTTATAAATTAGATATTCTAATTCCTTTTTTCACTTACTTTGAACTAAATATTTTAATGCATTTGACCAGTTATGGCCTAATACTTAATAGGCTGATCAGAATTTTAAAAACATGACTTACTTCTTAATCTTATTCTGCATGTATGACCTGACACAAGGACTATATTACAACTTTTGCAGAATGTTCTTTTTATAGAAGGATGTCTGTAAAAACATTTTTTGACAAGATGTAGCCAAGTTTCCCAAAACATAATTCTTCTACAAATGACATCTTCTATATCCACTTAACAAGTAATAGTAAAACTAGGAGGGCAAATAAACTTGCCATGTACTTTCATACTAATATTGCTGTATTGAGAACAGAGTATTCTTTCCAATACAAAGGATGGAACATACTAGTCACACATTCAGATCTTATTTTTCACACATCTAAGCACTTAGTTTAGCTATTATGGCCAAAGCCAAACACAACAGTCAGGGGCATTTAAGTTGGGTGGGAATGTAACAGGTATGTTAACTGATCCATCTCTCTACCCATCATTGTTTAGTCAAAAAGATAATTCTTAAGTAATACTTTATACCGATACAAGAAAACACAAAGCTATCTAGTACTACACAGTTCTAAACATATTTCATATTTTATGCTTACATTCTGATCACATGTTTTTCTGCAACAGTCCTCATAGTGGATATGTAATACCGACACAGATCATGATTTTTTAAGTCTTGTTTCAATACTAGCTTTGCTGCCTAGTAAAAAGTAAGAAAAAACATATATTTTGTGTTGTTCATGATAAATGTATCTGATACATTAGTACATAAAAAATGAGTTCCAACATATAATTTACATATTAATACTATGGACATGATTTTTTAAATTTTAGTTAGCGTAGCCCCAGTCAGCACACATATATTGGCCCAATATTGGCTAAACATTGGTTACCAATATTGGCTACATCTTGGTGCAACATTGGCTTAACCTTGGCGAAACATTGGTAGTGAAACTCGGCATGATGTTGGCGCAATGTTGGCACAATATTGGCTATATCCCGGCTACATATTGGCCCAACATTGGCTAGATCTTGGCCAAATATTGGCTATATCCCGGCTACATATTGGCCCAACATTGGCTATATCCCGGCTACATATTGGCCCAATATTGGCTACATCTTGGCTCAATATTGGCTATATCTTGGCCCAATATTGTCTATATCATGGTTACATCTTGGCCCAATATTGGCTACATCTTGGCTCAATAATGGCTATATCTTGGCCCAATATTGGCTATACCTTGGCTCATCCTGTATTATATCCTGGCTACATCTTGGCCCAATAATGGCTATATCTCGGCTATACCTTGGCTCAGCCTGTATTATATCCTGGCTACATCTTGGCTCAAATTTTTATTTTTAGCATACAAAAAAATCCATTCTCATATCAGTCATAATATTTACAAAGGTAATTTCAAAATGTGAAAGAAATTTTAATCAAAATGTAGTAAAGCAGCAATACATACACAAGAACTGCTCATCTATTAAAATCTGTATTATACCATCCATTCAATTGTAAGAAAATTATAACTATACTATAAAGTATTGATTGAAAAAGAATAAGTAAATTATAGTGTAGTAACTTTCATTTTGACTTTTATACAAACAAATTAAAACAAATATACAAAACATTTTCATATAATGTAACAGATGTTAAGCAGGCCTACAGTTTAAATTAAACTAATGTAAAAAACTTAATTTACTGTACAAGAATACAGAAGCTGTCTTGTACTATGATACGTAAACATAACATTAAAAATAAAAAGTATAAAATATTTGTCTAACAACATTTAATTGCATAGCTCGTTTAAGTATTCTAATTAAGGTTTACATTTTAATGCTGGACCAGTCTGCCTTGTCCATAAATAACAGAACGAAAATATGTTCAGGATCTCTAGATTATAATTGTGGTTAAATAGTGTTGAAATGAATGCCATTGTGTATACAAAATGTACAATCTTTCAAAAGACAGATGGTTCGAGGGTTTATACGCATTGTGTAGAACAGGAATATCACTGCGATATTTAATAAATGTTTTTTTGTCTCGAGTATGAGGTATTTAATTATAGCAAACTGAATATATATTAATTTACTTCATTAATTAGAAATAAATATCACCAGCAGAAGTATTGTCAATACAAATGTTGCAAGCTTTTTTCAGATTGTACAGTGAAACTAAATAATGAAAGAAATTTGCAACTAATTCTTTAAAGAAAAAAATGTCAATTGTATATTTCATTTAGGGCATTAAATCTACACTAAACATACATACAATGCCAACTTAAATTATTATATTATTACAAAAGGAAACAATTTATTAATTTAAAATCAGCATTGTTCTTAGACTATTTTGGTAAGAGCATCTTTTCTTTTCATTAAGCACTTAAATGCAATATGTATTAAACTGTTAACCTGATCCATCTGATCAAATTTTTTTTTTTAAATCTGATCTAAAATTATTACGAAAATCACTGTTGTCCTCATTCTTGTGGACCCTTGTGGAGCTGAGAGACACAACCACACCTCTCTATTTTTATACTTGGTTTTAGGAGATTCCCCAAAGTTGTGTCCATAACACTCTGCCTGCTTGTGTTTTGTTGGTTTCTGATATTTTCCATGTTTGTTTTGGATAACAAACTTTCTCTTTCCTTTGGGATTCAAATCCAATAAAAGCCTGGTTGTTGATTTGTGCAAGGTATGTCATAATCCATCCACATTCTAAAAAAGAAAAGTTACACACTAAAAGTCATTTATGAAATAATTACAACCATACACTGCTCATTTTGCACTAAATTTATTATGTTTATTTTATTTTGCACTGCACTGAACATACAACAAGAAGCCCCTAACATCATGTTTGCTACCTTGTAACGATATATTATATAGGTATAAAGACTGGTGGTCTGGGGTGTTCATGCTACCCAGGTAACACTTATACTGCATATATATATATATATATATATATATATATATATATATATATATATATATATATATATATTTATAAACAAAAGTGAAAAAAAAAGACCTGGTAATAAAAAAAATAATAGTATGTATATAAATATTATAAACCCCTTACCCTATGTCTCTGAGCTAAGAAGGTGCCAGACAATTTTTGAGCAATTTCATCAACTTTATCAATTCAGTAATTGAACGATTAGACCCTTCAGAGTGACCCAGAAGTAATGCTTGTGGTCTGAAATTATTTTACTAATATCAGTAAAGGCATTAACTACACATGCTGATCATTAAATGCAAGCAAAAAATACTAAATGAATATTATTATTCACTTTGAAACAATGTAAACTTACAGTTATTAAGTGTTAAGAACATTTAGTCATCTTCTGGTGTAGCCAGTATTTGGTGAAGTATCAAGATTGATATATCTCCAGTGGGCTGATTGATATACACAACACCTGGAGGCCTGAAAATAAATGGCATTCTTAGTTATTAAATATAATAATAAAATGAGTGAGTGATACAATAAATGATAGCCAGATTAGATACTAATTTTTAAGTATCTCTGTTTATTTGATCTCTGTATATAAAGGATTGTGTAGTCAACACTATATCTAGCCACCTTTTTTATTTCATAGTCTTAAATTGGGTATATATCAGACTTAGGTGAACTGATGAATGTACTACTAACTTGGCTTTATGTTTAGCAATAGTGTCCTCAACCATTTGCCTACTCTGTCCTCTATATGATAATATGAGTAGTGTTGATCATTAAGTATGGCTTACTAATAGTACCATCTTATCGCTGTTGGTCATGAAATTAAGTGTTGCTCTGAGGTCTCCACACTACTATTTACACAACTTACATATTATTCATCAAAACATGCATTAGACTGGAATCCCCAGGGAAAAAGGAGGGTGGGCCGGCCAAGGAAAACATGGAAGAGAACGGTTGAGGAGGAGGCAAAAACAGCTGGGCTCTCATGGGCACAGATTAGAGGAGCAGCCCAAAACCAAGTCCGCTGGAGATGTGTGGTTGCAGCCCTTTGCTCCCCAGGGGCCACAAAGGAGTGATGATGATGACATCTTATTCTCCCATAGGGAGCTGTAACAGTAATAGAAATTTGAATGACAATCTTGAATCAATTTAGAATTCTAGTTGACTAATTTTTTTTCAAAATTAATACCTATCAAAATACACTGTTTAACATGTAGAAATTTGTTCTATAATTGTGTCTACTGTTCCTCTCTCTCTCTCTCTCTCTCTCTGAATTAATTAATAAAGACAGTTTCAAATCCTTACACAAATAGGCCTAGAACAATAAAATTAAGTTTTTAAAAAAGTTAAAGTGAATGATTATTTATTAATTTATAAACATTTAAGCCCCCCCCCCCTTTCCCTGTGCGTGATAATTATACCTAAAGTTGAAAACCAATAAATACATCGATCTATCAATAATCAATATAACCCCAAACGTACTTGCATACTTTTCAATACAAAAAAAAGTGCTGTCAAAATTAACCGCCCTCTGATTACGATTTTTAGTTATTTAGTATTATTAGAATCTAGATCTATCTAGATCTATCATTAAGGAGATTATTGTAAAATGTAATTATAGCCTAATGCCAAAATAAACAGAATATAGACTCTAGTATTATTAATATATAGATCTAGACTAGATCTAGGCTCATTTTATTACCTCAAATAAACTACCTTTTATAACTTTTATTTGATGACTTAGGCCCATAAAGTTAAAGTTTCCAACAAAAAAATACGAGTTTTCCAGATTCTGCATAAATACAGTTATACTAC